AACATGATTAAATATGGTTTTTTGTGTTTTTTATAATGGTGCTAGCTGATAGAAAGGGCTTTACTGGATGCAGGAAGCCTTAAGAGCTTCTTCCTCCAGCTGCCCCTCCTCTTGGAAGGAGCACTGACTGAGGCCTGGGGGCTTTCACTTCTCCTTTCCCCTCCCTACTAAGGTCACCAAACCCAAACCACAAGCTGTCTACACAGAAGGTAGCAGGCTTTAAGAATATTCAAACTTCTGAATCAAGATAGGATCCAATTAGAATTGCTACAAATTTAAGGTCAGCCTGGGCTACAGAGGAGTTCAAGGGCCAGCTAAACTGCATAGTGAAACCCAGTCTTAAAAAAACCAAAAAAAAAAAAAAAAAATCAAGACAAAATTTATAAAATTGTTTTGCTGAGCCATATCCAAGGCTAAGGTGAACAGGAAAACTAGTAATACAATACTGAGCTCATCAATTTTGATTTTTTTTTTTGTTCCCTGCAGAGTTTTTGAGTTTATTTTTTATTTATTTATTTATTCATGTACTTATTATAGGGCCTACAGGGACTCACTACGTAGATCAGCGTCAGTGATTTTCCTGTTTTCAGCCTCGCAAGTGCTGGGATTACAGGCTGATGCCACCACACCCAGTCTCAATCACCCATTCAGCGTGCCTGGGGGGCAGGGCCAGCATGGCAAACCAGGGATTGAACCCAGCCCCTGTACTCTGCGTAATCAGGTGCTTTAGTCGCTGAGCTATCTAGCTGGCCCTTTGCATTTTTTTTTTTTTTTTTGCATTTATTTGATAACCTAAAGTATTACATTAGATCTGGGCACAGTGCTGTATCCCTGTAATTCCAGCACTCAGGAGGCTGAGGCAGGAGGATCAATGAAAGTTTGAAAACAGCCTGGGCTACAAAGTGAGTTCTAGGCCTGAACTGCATAGTGAAACCCTGTCTCAGACAAAACAAATAAATAAATGAATAATAAAATAAAATAAAATGTAGCATTACATTTAATTCATTAAATTTGAAGGACTTGACACAGGGTCTCACTATGTAGTTTAGGCTGGTCCTGAACTCACTATGTAGCCCAGGCTGGCCTCAAACTTGAAGTGATTCTCCTGTCTCAGCCTCCAGAGAGCTGGGATTACAGGCATGTCCCACCATCCACAGCCAGTTGCATTCTACTCAGAAGTTTGATCAAATGCTAGGATTACAATTTGACATCTCCTTTATGTGAGTTGTCAAAGTTGAGTTTCAGAGAACTCTAGACCCCACCCTTCCACATTTCAGATTTCTAGGTTATGGGTGGTGGTGGAAAACTTGCAAATCTAACAAATCCCACACGGTGCTGATAGGCTAGGCTAGGGACTGCCATTTGAGACCCTATGCCTATGTATACCACGGTTTCCTTTACCAAAAAACTGCAAACTTGATCTCATCCCCCTTCCCATCCATGGCACTAACGCTAATCCCCCTGCCTGCCTTTCCCACCACCCCCAGCATTCTGGAGGCCCAGCTGTACCTGTTCTCACTTCCTCTTCTAGCTGGGAGCAGGAGTGGGGGTGGGGGTGGTGGCTTATCTCTCATACAGCTGACTCATGCCAGACATCACCTCCAAAAGCCCTCCATGGCCCCTAGATGCCATCTTTTCCAGGATCAAGCAATCTAGCAAATATCACTGTACTGTCACAACCCATTCATTTCTCCTTCTGTACTGTCATCAGAGCTAGCAGAGGCCCCAGTGAATCAGGATGAGGGTGCCAAATATAAGCAGATGCCTCAAAACAGGGATAGAAATAATGTTCATTAAATCTAAGCCCTGAGAGGTAGCGTACAACTATAAACCAGCAATAGGAAGGCTGAAGCATGAGGATGGTTATAGTTGGAGGCTAGTCTGGGCTACAAAGTGAGTTTGTGACCAGCCTGAACTACACAGCAAGACCCTACCTCAAACAAACAAAGCACTGAAAACAAAGCGCTGTTATGCCCCACCTTATGTTCCCTTAACGTTGAAAAACTCTAGACAAAACTCTCAAACAAAAACTGTATTCTCTCATTTCAACATGGTTATATTTCTGAAAATAGAGAATTAAGTATTTTATTTTGGTGTAGGAAGTGGAGCTGGATTCCAGCTTCAGATCATTATAAACAAATTTTTCACCAGATAGGTGTTTTACAAGAATAGACAATTCTCTGGGGAGTGTGCCCAGCGCACTGCAGAGCATGGAGCATCCCTGGTTCCTCCCCTCAAATCAGGGAGCCGACCAAAAACAGTCTCACAGTTTGTGGCCGATCACACAGCGGACAGAAGATGAATGCCAGAGGACTTGGATCGCAGCTAAAGGACTGTATTCCAGTTATTGAACTTTCAGCAAGTGGGCCTTTTGAACAACATGATCTTCTTTGGAAAGGCTTTCCATGTTTGAAAAATGAACTGGTACCAAGTCGCACTCTTGAATTATCAGAAAAAAAATTCCAGCTCAACCCAAGATAAAATGAATTTTTCCACATTGAGAAACATCCAAGGTCTCTTTGTTCCTCTGACATTACAAATGGAATTCAAGGTGGTACAGCAGGTTTAGCATCGTCCATTTCTTTCTAGCTCAAACCTTTCACTGGATAGTTTGAGGGGTAATGATGAGACTATCAGATTTGAAGATATTCTCAATGATCCATTCCAAAGTGAGCTCACTGGGGGATCACACCTGCTGGTGGAATGTAAGTTTGGTTTATGGTCACGTGTGTATGTGCTGTTCCTGAATCAGAGGGGGTATCATGTTGTAGTTGTCTTTTGTTATAATTTGATGTATACATTAAAAGTGGTGGCATCTGAGAATTTTTGTTTTGTTTTGGTGGTTTGGGTTTGGTTTTGTTTTTGAAAATTTTTGCCAAAAAAAAAAAACCAGTCCCACAAATACTGACCAATTCCCACTAGGACCTAGAAGGCCACCCACTGAAATCCCCTAAAGATGGATAGTGCAGGACTGTGGAGAAGGTCACAGCTCCAGGACTTAGGGAAGACGGGGAGAAGACGGCAGAGTGAATTTGCACTTGGGCAGTGGGATGATGAAGCCATTTGCTAAATCGGGGAGCAAACTGGACCCTGTTGGGGAGTGCCTGAGTATTGGGGAGTGCCTGGGTATTGGGGAGTGCCTGGGTACATGCAAGGAGTGAGGTGGGAGGGGTTTGGGTGAAACAGAAGCTTCCTGTTACCAAATCAGGAGCGATACTACCGACAGCTAAATTAGGTAAAAATATTATAGACAGCCAGACAGAGCTGGGCCCTCAGGGAGTCAGTACAGAGGATGAGAATACATTACAACTGTGGCTAGAGGCGCATCCATTAAATGCCAGGCCTCAAGATAAAGACAAAATGACCAGACCTACATGCCTCCCCAAGGGCTAAGCAGTATACTCTAAATCATATCACCTGATCCAATAAAGTCTAGTTAGGTATCAGTCACCCCGGTAGGTGACCAGGATCACCTGACTCATCTCTTCCAAAGAAGGTCCCTCTTTCTATGTATGCAATTTGCTATGTGACTTGCTTGCCCATTAGATCCACATTACCTAAGCCACAATACTGATAATCTTACTGTTTCTTCTTTGTTTGTCTTCTGAGACAGGGTCTCACCATGCAGCTCAGGCTGACCTTGAGGTCACTTTGTAGCCTAGACTGACCTTGAACTTGCAAGATCCTCCTGCCTCAGCCTCCCAAGTGCGGGTATTACAGGCATGTGTAAGCACATCAGGCTTCTTTTTTCTCTTTGAGACAGTGTCTCACCATGTACTTCAGGAAGCTGGTCTGAAGCCTGCAGTGATCCTCCTGCTTTAGTTGATTATAGTTTTGTCCTATGTTATGCCCACCTCCTGACTTGGCTCTATAAAACTTCCTTTGAGAAATGGGCTCCTTTCCAACCTACTGGGCCCTCACCCCTCAGGAGGGATCTCTCCCTATAACGTTTTCCTATTCTTAACCCCTTTTGTTTCTTAATATTCATTAGATTTGGGGGAACACGAACTTGGCATACCTGACATCTAGCAGATTGAGAGTCAGTATCTCCCTGTATCATTGAGAGGTCCTGCACCCGCACCACCTTCTCAGGGTCTCGCTCTCTGACTCTTCGCTGCACAGGGCTACAGCAGGCTCTCCCTCCACTCCCCTGCCTCACAGGCCCTTGTCCTTGCAAGCAGCCCAAGTGACCTTTAGGACCAGACCTTGGCTCCTACCACCTCCCCTCCCCCTCCCTGAGCGCGGTCCCTTGAGCGACAACCTCCTTCCTGTTTCCCGGGCTTTCCGCAGGCCAGAGCCCACGGGAGGGCTGGCTCCTCTCCCTCACAGACCAGGCCTGGAGCACAATTCCCTCCCTCAGAGAAGCCTACCCTGACTCCCCTCCCATCTTCTCTCCGCCCTCGGAGTTAACTGGGTGTCTGTCTGGACACGGAAAAAGACTTCCTAGGAACAGGCTACCCAACTATTTTTTATTTTCTCAACTCTCGGAGTACGGAACCTAAAGTCCCTGAGAGTGCTAGGCAAGTTTACCGTGAGCTACACTCCCAGCTCCATCGCATTTACTAAGCTGATTAACCCCTGCCACCTCCCAGAAGACAGACCTGCCCTATTCTGCGCACGCTGCTGCTTCTTCCTAAATACTTCACTGAGAAAAGGGACGTACTGATTTCGGCAGAGCGGCCCCTGAGGGGCAGGGCGCAAGGGCCACGGGCTCTTATTTCCTGTTTCCTTACATCTTTCGTCCCCTCGGTGCTGCGCGGCGGGCGGACCTCAGTTTCCCCACCCCGGCCGCGTCTACAGTAGTCCGGGAGGCCGGGAGCGCGGGCGAGAGCAGGACCGCCGGCCCCAGCCTCCCGCGAACGCCGCTCGGGCACGCGCACGCGCACGCGCACGCACACGCGCACGCGTCCCCTCCCCCTCCCCCACCCACTTCCCCGCGCGCAGCAGAGGGAGGCGGGGGTTGGGGGCGGCGGACGCCGAGGGCGAGGGGCGGGCCCGGCCCGGCTCGGCCCGGCCGCCCGCGCGTGGCTGTTGCAGGCCCCGGGCCCGGCCCGGCGGCTGCTCTAGCTCGAGGAACTCGGTGGCGCCCGTGAGCCGCGCCGCAGCCATGGCTCTGGTGACCCTGCAGCGCTCGCCGACGCCCAGTGCCGCCTCCTCCTCGGCCAGCAACAGCGAGGTGAGCCGCGGAGCCCTTCCCGGGCCTGGGCCGCGCGCGCGGAGCCTTGGGGACCCCGCCTCGCCGAGCGACCCGAGCAGCTGGCCTGGGGTGGAGCCGTGACCCGCGTCTCGGGGCGGCCGTGTGGGGACCCAGCGTGTGACCGGAGTTCCCCGCCGGAGACCCTGTGCCAGGCGCGGGTTCCAAGACCTGTGACCCTGTGGCAGGTCCAGGCCGTTTGCTTGGCTATCCCCGGCGGAGTGTCTGTGAGGCTGTGTGTGCCTTTCGGCCGTGGGTGTGATCTGTCCACTGGGGACTGTGCTTCTGTGATGCTGTGTGAGTGAGGCCAAGGGGAGGACAGGGACGCTGCGGAGGTGTGAGATCGCTTCCCTGTCGCCGCCTTGGAGTTCTGGCTGTAGGTGTGTCTGTGCCTTTAGGATGCCACTGACCCGTGTGACAGCGACCGAGGGTGACCTGGGTGCTTCGTGACTTGTTTGTCATGCCCCTGTGTCTCTGAGACAATGTTTGCCTTTCGTTGTGTCACTCTGGGCAGTGTGTGTCTGTGCCCTGGGGTTAGGGTGTGTTGGCTGCTCTGTGCTGGTGTCTGTGGGTCTCCGTGCAGCTCGGGCCCATACACTGGATCCATGCTCAGAGGAGCTGCTGCCCTCCTAGAGGGCAGAATGGGGCTGGTGTGCCCGAGGCAGGGACCTCTTGGACCTCTGAGCGTGTCCCTGTGCAGCCAGCCCTCTTGGCCTGCAGTTTTCTTACTCTACCTTAAGGCCCCTGATCTAAATTCCTATCCATGGCAAGGCTCAATGTTGGCCTGAAGAGGAGCAGATGGAGGAGGAGCCCCTTACTCTGTTTCCAGACGTCCCAGGAAGTTGCTAGCCAGCATCCAGGCCTGTGTGCCAGCTCTCAGTGGGAGAAGTTGACTGATACAGGGGCCGGGTTTGTGTGTATCAGTGTGAGACAGAGAAGAGGACTTGAATTTGGCTGAAATGCTCTGTCTCCCAGCAGTGTTGCTTTTCAGCCTTGTTTTGCTGAGATTGGCAGGAACATTTGCAGAGTGGCTGTGAAGTTGAACCTCCTCAGCGCCCTCCTCTCAGAGACGCTGTTAATGAGTTATCTGTCTGCAGACAGAAAGTTCTAGTATCTCCCCTCTGTGCGCTGATTAGAGGCGAAAGAACATTGGGGGCTGATTGCTGCAACTGAGAAGTTATGTTGCAGAAGCATCTGTCCTCCCCAAAGAGATCTGTTCTCCTACATCATTCCTGTGACTGTTCTCTGGCATTTTACAAAGGCCTGTGCTTTTATCCACTTAATCTCATAGTATTTTCACAAACACTGTGAAGAGCTTGGCTTCAGGAGGAAATCACACAGAATCGTTCTGCCTGGGTTTTTGATTCCTAAACCCCACTAAATGCATCTTTAAAATTTTAGCTCGGTAGAGTGGCGCATGACTGCAATCTCAGCTACTCAGCGCAGGCAGGGGAATTGCAAGTTTGAGAACCAGTCTGGGCTACTTAGTAAGACCCTGGCTTAAAATTTAAAAGGGGAGGGGAATGTGGGGGTATATTGCAGCCTTCTTTGGACTCAATTCCCATTACCACCAAAATTAAGAGTAAGAGAAAACATTTTTAGTTGATATGTAATTCACATACCATAAATTCACTGTTTTAAAGTATACAAGTCAGTGGGGTTTAATATATTCACAAGATCATGCAACTATCACCACTACCTAATTCCAGAACGTTTTGTCATGCCACAAAGAAACTCTGTGCTGCAAAGATACCCCTTAACTATCACTTGAAATCTCCCTGTGCCCTATCCTCCCCTACCCTGGGCAACCACCAGTCTTACTCTCTGTGCAGATTTGCTTATTCTGGAAAGTTTATATAAATAGTATCATGCAAGACATGGTTTTTTGTGCCTGGCTTCTCTCAGCATAATGTTTTCAAGGTTCCTCCATGTTATTGCCTATGTTAGTCCTTCATTTATTTTTATGGCTGAATAATATTCCATTGCATGAAGGTACCACATTTGCCACACATTTGTCTTACCTCCACTGGACACATTTAAAATTATTATAGAGGCTGGGGAAATAGCTCAGTGGCATAAATGTTTGCCTGGCAAGGCAAGGTCCTGCGTTCAATCCCCAGTACTCCCCCCAAAAAGTATATTTGGATATATATATATATATATATATATTTATTATAGAAAACGTTAGTGCTAATGACCCAATCAGCAGAATAAAACCCAGCCAGCCTGTATTTGACTTCAGTACATGAACAGCATTTGTTGTCCAGTGAGTGAGGAGGGTCCGGATGTTTCCAGGAAGATGAGGCTGTCCTCTAGAAGTGCTAGACCAACAATGAGACAGAATGGAGAAAGTAGATATGCACAGAGCCAGGAGACCAGGCCCAGGCTGGCTGTACTCCTGGGTCACCCTTTCCCTGTGCTTCCTGTCTCTTTGCCTCAGCCCATCTGAAGGCCTGGATTACCTCTTAAGGATGTTCTTTGGCATCTGTGCGGCTTTGGAATAACTGACCTCACATTACCTTTCATTGGAGAACCTTGGAGGGTGACCGAGAATTAAATGGTTATGGAGTGTACCCCCAAATCATTTCGCACTCATCAAAATGCAACTCCTCCAATGAGTCAGAGACACACCAGTGGTTTCCTGACACAGCCAGGCTGGCTTCGCGGCGTGGGAAACCAAGGGAAATCACAGCCCTTGGCCCAAAAGCAACTCTCTCCTTTCAGTTTTTTTTTTTTTTTTTTCTTTTTGAGCTTTAATTATCTCATGTGTATCATTTTCCTGTTAACCTTATCTCAACTTTTTTGTGAGGACAGAGCTGGGGAAAAGATAAGCCAACATTTTTCAGGAGTGGATCGGAACATTGTTATTTTTGACAGTTGTTCAAAGTGACTAATTTCATAGGCAGATATCCAGGCACTTTTTTGGGTTGGACTAGTGTTTCTCAACCTTGACACTGTTGGGGGCAGAACATTCTCTGTTGTGGGGGGCTGGCCTGTGCATTGTGTGATGTTTAGCATCCCTCTGCTCACTATTCACAAGATGCCAGGAGTCCCATTCAGAACAGTGCCTTCAGACATCGTGGTGTCCCTTCATGAGAGAACTTGCCCCCGGTGCTGCTCCAGTGGCTCAGAACCCATACGCTCTTCCCAGTTGGTTGCTGCTGGTTTTTTGTTTTGCAGTGCTGGGGCTCAGACCCAAAGCCTTATAAGCCAGGCAAGTTATGCCACTGAGCCACACCTCCCAGCCCTGTTGTTATAGTTTTGAGTTGTTTTGTTTAAACCAGAAAGAAGCTCCTGGCCCTGTGATTACTAAGGCTTCCCTGGTTTTTCCACCTCACCTTCATGGGTGCATGAATTCATTGGCCCCAGTGTGTGCCCCTGCGTAATTCTATTACAGACATTATCTTAAGAAAATGTAGGGATGCTGGGGACTGCTTGTATACTGATTCTTTTTTTTTTTAATTTTTTTTTTATTTTAACATTTATTGTGTGTGTGTGTGTGTGTTTGTGTGTGTGTGGCCAGCTCAGCCCACCAGGGGGCGGGGCTGGCTGGCATGTGGTGCTGGGGGATTGAACCGTGGTCCCTGTGCTTTGCCAAGCTTGTTCCAAGTAGGTGCTTTAGACCACTGAGCCATCTCTCCAGCCCCTATACTGATTCTTGGTAGAACTTACCACCTCCTTGAGTGTGTCCTGGCTGGTCAGGCCCCTCCCCGGGTGCTCCCATCCTTCTCTGTGCTGTCCTCAACTTCTGCCTCCTTTCTGTCCTCAGTCAGCCTTGCAGTTCCAGGCCATCACGCCTCTCCAGGGTTTCCCTTGCCATTCAATGAATGCTTTTGTCTAAGGTAAAAAACATGCCAAGTCCCTGTGGTGCTGAGTTGTTTTCTAATCATTTTCAGTTTTTTGTTGAAAAGGGAAAAAGAAAGAGTGAAAGATGATTTGAATTAAAGGAAAAGTTACTTTTGGAGCTCAACTTTATGCACTTGTAGCTTTTAGAAAATACTTTGTTCTTACATTGATACAAATAAACCGACAGCCTAGAACATTTCATATTAAACACTTAAGTCTTGATGAGATCCACCAAAAAAGCTTTAGAGATCCACAGGCAGCCTCATTCCTGGCCACCTTCCATGGTGAAAGACTTGCCTGAAATATTCTTAAAATGGTGCTCCTTGCTCAGCAAGGCCCCACTTGATAGAGGAAATGGATTCTCTTCAAACATAGCCCCTTCCTGTTAGCAGCAAAACAAGAGGATAAGATCCAGAACAAATCTGAAAAGTTGAGAGCTGAAGGAATGTGTTGGGCAACAGTGCCAAGTCGGAAATATTCAGTTAACAGGGTTCAGTCCACCAGACCATGGCAGGAATGTGCATAAACATTTGGAAACCTGAAAATTCCTCTGTAGCAATTACTCAAGGGAACAGCAGGTCAGGTTGCAAGGAAAGGGCAGAGCTATTTAGAAGTAGCCAGGTTTCCTGGACATCTTTATCTTTTCCTGACACCAGGGTAGGGACCGGGAGACTGCTGCTGTCTGAGGCTTGGTGATAGTGGTATCTGTGGTGTGACAGTTTTCTCTCTTTCTGCAGTTGGAGGCTGGCAGTGATGAGGATCGCAAGGTAAACCTCAGGTGAGCAAATTTTTCATTTTGATTTTAAATCTTTCTCCCAAACAGGTAAGGGATACTCTATGTTTTTCTCAAAGGGAAAACCCAAGGAAAAAATACCGGTTTTGGTCCTTCACCTTTTTTTCTTTTTGGTACCAGCTGGGGAGATGGCTCAGTAGCATAAGCGCTTGCCTGGCAAGCACAAGGCCTGAGTTTAATCTCTGGTTCTGCCAAAAAAAAAAATTGAGGCCAGCCTTGGCAGCATAGTGAGATCTTGTCTCACAGTAAAAAGAATTGAAGGCATAGCATAGTGGTAGAGTACTGGCCTAGCATATGCAAGGGCCTGGGTTTCATTCTCAGCACCAAAGGAAAAAGAAAAAAAACCAAAACTTTAAGATGTAGGCCTCAATTACTATATTCATTAATAAACAGTAACACTTTTTTGTTTTTCTTTATGAAAAATGAAAGTTTTCCTTTTGTTTGAATATTGTGTTTCCAGAAGATTCAGCACTTCGTTATATAACATACTCCTTTGCACCAAAGAGCCAATCTTGGAAGTCTGACCTCAGAATGGAAAAAAGTAAACAAACTTTAGGGATATTGTCATTTAAAAACAAACAAGGAGGAGGAACATTAATTGCAAGAGGAAGTAGGTATTCAAAATTTGGGGTCAGGCATTCATTACCAAGAGCAGGATGTTTTGGTTAAATTCTCTTGCAGAAGAGGTAGAAATATGCTTCGCCTTGCTTTGACATTCTCACATATTGGAGCAAAGTGAGGGAAACTTCACTTTGATTGTGGCACATATTTGGAAAGATTTCCGGGATAGGGAAATACTAGCTTTTGAAAATCAAAGGCATACTTTATTCCAATTACTAGATCCTACTTTGTAATGTTAGACTCGGGACAAAGGACAAATTGGCTCTTTCACCCTGTGGTTTTGGGTTGGTCAGAGCCCAGGTCAGGGTTCCCAGGCTGGAAACAGCTGGACTCCAAGTGGGGGCAGTAAAGGGCCACACTGTAGCTCTGCTTCTCTAGTGGAGGCGGGAAGGAAGCAGTCTAGATAGCTTAGAGGAGGGGAAGTTGGACAGGAATGACTGGCAGCTATGAGGCCACTGAGCCCAGCCTGGCTAGCTGCCTCCCCCATCCCACCCAGACCCATGTAGTACCTCCCTGGGTCTGAGTCCCTTCTGCCCCTCCTTTTACCCTTTTCTTTGCAGGCTCTTGTCTAGGACATAATATTGAGCTCTGTCACTTAAACTATCTCTAGGGGAAAAAAGGGGTATTGTCTTTTAGTTGATTTGCCTAAAGAATATCCAAATGGCAGGGATATAAGAATGAATGTATGGGCCAGGCAAGGTGGTACACACCTGTAGTGCTATGGGGAGGCTGAGGCAGGAGGATTAATGCCTGGTTTGAGACCAGCCTGGCCTACAAAGTGATTTCAAAGCCAGCCTGAACTACATAGCAAAACCCTGTCTCAAAAAGACACACAAAGGAAGAGAAAGAAAGAAGAAAAGAAAAGAAAAGAAAAGAAAAGAAAAGAAAAGAAAAGAAAAGAAAAGAAACATACAGCCCTTTCTCATTAATAAAATTTCCCCTTTTCCATCTGGTTTGGAGACAAGGGAACCTCACAGAAGGATGGGAAGTAGTGTTAAAACAGCTTTGTGTGTGGCTCTATTCCTCAAAACAGCAGTAGAGGAGTCTTCCCATTTCCAGGTGAGAAATTTGATACTTGGTACTGCATGTGAGAAATACTATGTTCAAATACAGTTTTGGGTATTGAGCCATGTTTCTGGATACCAGTTTAGATATGCATGGAATCAGCTGTGTCAGACTTGCAGGTGACAGGAGTGGGCAGGGAATGAGCGGGGTCTAAAGAGAGCCAGTGAGCCGGGGAGATGGCTCAGTAGAATAAGCACTTCCCTAGCAAGTGCAAGGGCCTGAGTTCAATCCCCGGTTCCACAAAAAAATAAAAAATAAAAATAAATAAAATAAAGAGAGCCAGAGCCAGGACTAAGGCTTCCTGCCAACTCACGGCACCGGTTACTCCAGCCACAGTGAGTCCCTCTTTCTGCTGCACTGGTGGTAGACCCTGGTTAGGTTCAGGAACCTGGCCTGGCTGGCAATGCTGGCTTTAGAAAGCTTGTCGCAGCTGCTTCCTTTTTAGTACCTTTTCCCTGGCCTTGACAGTTCACCCTCCTGTCTTTTCTTTTCTTTTTGTGGTGGAACCAGGGATTGAACTCAGACCCTTGTGCTTGCCAGGGAAGCACTTATTCTAATGAGCCATCTCCCTAGACCCTCACCCTCCTTTCTAAGACAAAGGATATCATCCTGCTTGCTAACCCTGCTAGCCAAACAAGAAAGGTCTTGTGTCCTGATTTAACCTTTGACTAAAACTCGTTCACCCCTACCTGTTCATTTGCATTTACAGGCCTTTTTCTTCAAGCCTCTCCTAGAGAGAAAAACTGTGGAGTGGCCAGTTTTTGTTTGGGGTGATGGATAGGAAGAGATTTCTCTTTACTTAAAATTGACCCTAAAGGTAAACTGCTATTACTCAGACTCTTAAGAGATGCTGGAGTGGAACTCCAGAGAGCAGGGGATTCCTCTCTTTTCTGTTTTCTGTACTGTTTATCCTTAGTTACAGTTGACCCTCTGTATAGTCTCCAGTTCTACATTTTTTCATTGAGGATTGAAAATAGTTGGAAAAAAAAAAACTTTCCAGAAACTGTTACATTGTTTCTGACATGTTCTGTATAGTTAGGCCTAGAATGGTTGCATCTGCCCTGAACTTGTAGGCTTCTTTTTCTTGTCATTATGCTCTAACAATACAATATAACAATTTACATAACATTTACATTGTATTAGGGATTGTAAGTTAATTGTATACAAGAGAGTGTGGCTAGGGGCCAGGGAGATGGCTCAGTAGAATAAGGGCTTCCCTGGCAAGCACAAGGGTCTGAGTTCAATCCCTGGTTCTGCAAAAAAGAGAAGGAGGGAGGGAGGGAGGGAGAGAGAGAGGCTAGCTTCTATGTAAATAGTGTACTACTTTCTATTGGACTTGATCATATATAGAGTTTGGTACACACGGGGTCCAGGAACCCATCGCCATGATTACTGAGGATGACTATTTCACCTTTCAGAGCATCTGAGAAGTCAGATTGACTACCACATGGAGCAAATTGCTGCATCCCTAGGATTGGGTCTTTAGTGTCACATGTCTGCTTCTTCCCGGGTCCACTTGGTGATGCTATTGCTCTGGTCCCCCTCTCTTCTCTTTTGTATAGCTAGGCCACCCACTGATCCATCCCTGTACCCCAGTATGTCACCCTCTGGTTCTCTGTGCTTCTCCTTCCTGGCTCCTGGCATCTTTGGTGCATTCTACACACTGCCTTACCACCACACATGCTGTTCTCACTCCTGGGGGATCATTCCTTACTCTCTGACTGCCTGTTCCCTAAGCCAGTGTCTTTTCTCATGGGCCACATTCCTCATGGCCTCCTCAGAGTACTCCAACCCCAAATGCATGTGACTTCTCATCAGAGCAGGTCACCCTCAGACTCTCTGTGACACAGAGAGGCTGCCACATCTCCCTCACACTGCAGATTAGTGTGCTTTGGTTGCATATCTAAATGCTGATGCTTTTCTTAGTGATGAATCTTAGTCCTCTACCTTCACATAGCATTTAAACATTTGAATGAGGTGAAGTTTTATTGTTTTGGGGTTTTTTTTTGGCAGAACAGGGGATTGAACTCAGGCCCTTGCACTTGCCAGGAAGCGCTTACTCTACTGAGCCATCTCCCTGGCCCCAAGGTGAAGTTTTGAATGCTGATATAATTAAGAAACATGAGGAATAGCAAGGTGCAGGGTAGGGCTTGGAGTCAGGCTTGTGTTGGGCATCTGGGTCCTGTACTAGAAGTTGAGTTCTTATACCTCTTTGGGGCTCAGCCTTAAAGCAGATAATCTTACCCCACAGGGTCCCCGGTAGTTCCTATAAAAGTGTTTGTGTGGACTCATGGTGGATGACTTTATTTGTTACATTTGGTCTTTGTTTCTTCATGAGGTGTTGCTCATAGGCAGTGATAGTTCCAGCACAGAAGAATGAGCAGACCTGCTGCTTGCCACTACCTGAGCCAGAGAGGGCCACCACTGTGTATGCTGTGTGACCAGGAGCAGCCTACATCTTGCAGCTGGCTGCATTCCCATAAGATGCAAATTAGAGTGCACAGGCAGAGGAATCTGTGTTGTAATTCTGACAGTTTCTCTGGAGGCTTTTTGGAAATGCCTCAGGAATTGCCATCTCATGCCCAGAGGAGGATGACTGATCCCAGGCAGTAGAAATCCAGCCCTTCCTCTCCATTCCCTTACTCTCTGCATATGCAGATGCCTGCCAGCCTCTCTCGGTGCCCTTCTGGAAGTGGAACTGTTCAGACTGTGGGAATTGGTGAGCAGATGGCCCTGCTGGCAGTGGGCTCCTGGCTCCCTTAGCATCTCGGGAGCCTGCTTCACCTAGCATGAGACATAAATGGCTTTGCACCAAGGCAGGGTGCCCAGGAGGTGATGTGGCTGTGTTGTCCCCAGAGTTTAAAAAAAAAAAAACAGAAAAGAAAATTTTTTTGCTTTAATCTAGTGTTTCTAAGTCAAGAACATGAAAATGTTGATTAGAATACTTTAATTTTGTTCTTGTCAGTCTGCCCAAGCAAGCTTTTGGGCCAGCAGCAGGATTTTGTCTTATGTTTTATTTGGTTTCACTGGCAAACTGAATGCTTGCACCTCTCTGCCTTTCTCTTCACTTTTCTTCCCCCATTGGCCTACACTCTCCTGTAGCTTTTGGGAGTGTAGCCTTTGGGAGTGTAGCTGTGTCTTCTCTCCCTGCCTCATTGTGTCAGGGTGGGATGTGGGCCTATACATCCTTGCGCTGCAAACCACATTTTGCTGTCTTCGTTGGGCACCCTGTTTGTGTACCCCTCACCCCTCAGGTTCCTCTCTGCCTGGCGTATGCTGTTGTGCCAGATCTGCTCTGC